AGTAGTAGTAGTAGTAGTAGTAGTAGTAGTAGTAGTAGTAGTAGTAATAGTAGTAATATTAGTAGTAGTATTAATACCTTGGGATGATGCAGACGGTGAAGTGCCAAATTATCGTGCACATGATGCACTTAGAAACTTGAGAAATAATATACTAGATCATTGGGCTTTATAAAAGCGTTTTAGAAATATGTACAAAAATATAACAGCTACAACCGAGACCTATACAGAGAAAAAAGAAAAGGCGAGTCTTGAAAAAGCACTTTCAGGTAAAGACTCGGAACGCTTTTGGAGACTTTCAAATGTCCAAACATCAAGCATAGAATAATAATCAACACCAAATGGTACCAGTACTTTTCCAAGTTATTTAATGTACAATATGAGATGAACCAAAGTGTAGCCATTAAAATCTGGATGGTAAAATAACAGAATCAGAAGTGCAACATACTTTAAAAGGTATACCGTTCTCGTAGCCTAAATGGTTAGAGTTTTCTCCTCTGATGCGGGAAATCGTGGGTTCGAACCTTGGCTGAGTCATACCAAAGATATAAAAATGGTACAAGCAGCTGGCTCTCGTTTGGCATTCAGTACTAAGAGGTTAGTGTTAGCACTGGTCGATTTGATGACTGGGTGGGACATGATGCCACATGTCTGCGGCATCTCTCCTAGTACTACACATCGCTATCAACTGGCACACTGCAGACATCGTAGTGATATGACTGGAAATTGTTAAAGCTACGTTAAAAATCCAAATTACACGCAAATACACACACACACAAACATACACTATAAAAGTTATATTGTCGTGTAAAAACCAGATAGAATCGATTACTGTTCAAGTGATTTTTTTTAAGATAGCTGAAAATATTACGGTTCCTATCATAGTATCTATGTTCAATAAATTATATGATCTAGGATACTTCCCAAAGTATTGGTCCACGAATTTTGCCACCCCCATTCACAGAAAATGGAATAGAAATATGCTTGAAAATGCTTGAGGGAGTACAAAGCCTTTTACCAGTACAAAGCAAAATATTTACCTTCGTTTTAAATGAGTGACTATATAACTGGAACAAATAAAAATATAATGAAGGTGACGAACAATCAGAATTGAATATTTCACTGTAGATAGTTTATTTATCTTAGGAACACTCATATATAAATATCTGAGAAAATAAAGAAGTTGGTTTTATGCTCTTTTTGTTAATTATGAAAAACCTTTTACCATTATTGACAGGAGCTTATTTTATCACAAATTAGTAAATTAGTAAGTGAAAATATCAATAGTTAAATGCTTACGATATAAAAAACCATATATGCAAATGTAAAAGGTTGTGTCAAAACGCCAAATGGCTTAACAGAAATTTTAACTGCCTTGACAACGAGAGACTATTTTGTTTATTATCAGCTATTTTAATTTCATTATTTCTAAATGATTTAAAAATATATTTCTGACCAAAATAATGACTTAACGCTAAAGTGCTGCTCAATTTCAAACAGTTCTAATTATACAAAAGGAATACTGCAACATCTGGAAATCAAGGATCACGTACATACTTTTAAAATTTGTACACATAAGTCTGGAGGAGACCTGCTGTCTATATCTTAATGACGTCAGAAAATATTCTAAAGGGAGAGAATGAAAGGCCCTGAAATTATTATATATTATATAGTCTCGAACATACGATTGAGCAAACGAAGCTTCGTTCAATAAAATGAATTAACAAATTTATGTAACAAAAACTAAAATTAAAGAAATAAATAAATTATGTAAAAGAAATAATGTGTTTCTATAAGATTACAAATCTCGTTTGAGCGTATCCTTCGATATTACCTGGTGAGGGGTGGGTTTAGAATTTCATGAAATTTATTTAGGAAGAAATTATTATGAAAAATATGGTATGAACAAAGATGATGAAATATGTTTTGAGTATTGAAAATTACAATAAAGTATTATGTCGTCCTACTTTGTTTGACCCCAAAAGATGGCATCTGCTTCTTTGTAAGACATTTTCATTTTTCCCTTTCCAGAAGAATATATACATGGTCAAAAATTAATTATGCTTCTCAATGTCAAGCGTTTTAGTAAATATTAACGGTAGCATAATATTTCGAAGGTTTACGATCAGTTCATACTGTCAGTCTACATCATTAAACCTTCAAAAAGGAAATGCGAATCGTCTGTTCTGGGTTTGAATATAGTGTATTACTTCAAACGACAATTTGACCGGAAACAAGCTCTGTAATTACGAGGTTTTTTTCAACATTATCATAGTGAACATCTCTACAACATTGCGAAAATAAAAAAACAATGTACAAGTGCATATTAAGAATCAGAGAGAGAGAGAGAGAGAGAGAGAGAGAGAGAGAGAGAGAGAGAGAGAGAGAGAGAGAGAGAGAGAGAGAGAGAGCGTGTGCGCGCGGAACATGCATATAAGTGTATAATATGGGCGTTTGGTGTTTGATATCGTCGGTGTCACGTTTGCTTAGCACCCAGCTAAAGTCATGTATAAGCTATAATCTACCAGTCTTCAGAATATTACTGCGGCCTTGTGTTTTATTTCTATCGATTGCCACGAAGTTAGTGTTGAAATCTTACGCAATGTTACAATGACCAGCCAAAGACCGGAAACTTGAGTCGGGAAAGGCTACCGTTAGCGTCACTTCACAAAGCTTTACAATTATCACACCTATAAGTTAAAAGCTAGTTCAAGGATCAAAAGTAAAGTTTACGAGGTGAACGGGGCGTTTTCTTCTCCGTTTCTACGTTGACCGATAGCGAGAGGGACATTGGCCACTAAGTTGTTTGGATCAGTACACAGCGATATCCTATCAAAATTGAGATAGACGGCGTGATCACAATTCATACCCAAAATCTTAAAAAGTAATTTAGTATATCTGGCGGGAGACTTATAGGTAGATTCTGAGGAAAGACAAAGCTTCGAAACGGTCAGTAAGTTATTCGCTATATTTTTGCAGAATAATTGTAATTATTTGTAGTATGTACACTTAATTACTAGGATCTGTTTGTATGTAGAATTACCTTTCTAGTGTTTTATTTGCATGCATATTTGAAAAATCGGCTGGAGGCTTACGAAAAGAATTATTAGATGCAAGGCGGAATTATGAAGATTGTTAGCTTATAGTCAGAATTAATTTTGTAAATCGCCATTAGGTTACTCCGTAGTAAACCAGTGCATTTATTCATGCTTGGTCTTAGAATTTACACATGCCTGAATTGTTAATTTGGAAATATGGTTGAAATATGTAAGATTAGTTGTTATGGACGTATGCTTATATCAATGCATAGATATTTGAATATTTGCGTACATTGTATGAGTTTTGAGGTAAAGAAATGCGTCTGATTATTGTGATGTTGTCAAGTATAACGGGATTAGGAATATTTACTGATATGACGGAATTTATTGATGTATGTATAAGAAGTAATTGATACCGTGCTGTATTATGACGTTTGTTTTACCAAACAAGAATGTATGGGTATCTCGACGTGAATAAATGTATGAACGAAGAAATGTAATAATCGTTATCAGATCATAGGCTGTGTGAGGGCTAAGGAAAAAGATTTACCGTCCTTGTGTTTTCACAGGAAGCTTTTCAGTGGACAGAGAACTTCTGGCTCCATTGGGTCAATAAGTCTTTAAGATTTGGAGACGGAATTGAGATTGTAGCCGAGACAGTCGAAGTCGACAGTAGTGTAGTCGTGGGGGGGAAATGTGGAGGAGTATGAGTATGAATCTAGAGAAAGTTAAAGATGAGGATAAGGAATTCGGAGAAAGGTTGAGGAGGAAGAGAACAAGGATTTGTGAGACATAAGAGAGATAAAGAATACAAATGAGTAGAAACACTAGGACAGGTGAAAATCAATCTCACACTGCTAATCAAGTGATGCAATAGGTTCATTAAAGGGTCAAGCGAAAGGAGTGTGATTGGAAATTTGAGTCATTTGATTATTGAATTTTTTAAAATTGTTATTCATTGAATTTCAACCTTTTTTGTATATTTAACCATCTAACAGTCGGCATTGCTGACTTGGAGCTCGTAGAATTACATCTATCTTTCACTAAATTTACATCCAACAAAATAGAGCCTGGGTGCGACTTCAATAATAGTTTAAATAAAATATTGGGAGCACCCCAACCCAACTATATACACTCGTCACAGTTATGATATAAGTAGAGAGAGAGAGAGAGAGAGAGAGAGAGAGAGAGGGGGGAGATAGTTTCAATGAAAAGTTTTAAATACATCTAATTTGAAGCATTCTACAGTTGAAAAATGTATAATCACTGGTGTAAGTTTGTTTGAAGCAGTGAAAGACATTTAAAAGCTTTAAAGTTTGTTGTTCGTTTTCGCTGACACTTAGAAATCCTTCGTATTTTTGACATAGAACATCATCAATACTACGAACCAGCAGCATCTTGCATCTGCTGAGTTCTTGACATTCCCCGGGCATATACCTACTTTCAGATCCACAACTTTATGCTTAAAATATTTGTAGAGACTATGGTAAATATATTTTATAATTGACTCAATAAGTGTTCTGCTGGGTTTTCATCACGTATGACCAGATACGCATCCTATAGCTAGATAAAAATAGGTAGTTTAAGGATGGTGCGAAAAACTAATTTTGGATTTTTGTCGAAAACTATTTTGTTTTATAAGAGAATAAATCGTAGTTTCAATATGCTGAATGACGGATGGACGAGAAATCTGATACAGAATGCTCAGTACATTTGCGAATCATTGTAAAATCTAAAATAATTATGAAGTATGACTCTTTCAACAATATGTTTACCAGTCAAAGCATTTAATCAGTTTCTGTACTGTGCTCAACATATGATGACAGGAATTATCTTTACATTAAAATATATCTTCATGTTTTATGCTCAGCACTTATGCATCTAAAACAGTCACGTGACCGCTAGAAACTTTTGATCGAATAAGTTCTCGACGTAGATCTGGCCGTTTTACAGAACCTTGAAACCGCTTCGGTGGCCGAGTGGTTAGAGAGTCATCCTCGGATGCAGAAGGTCACTGGTTCGAACCCCGCTTGAGTCATACCAAAGACATAAAAATGGTACTTACAGCTGCTTACCTTGACGCTTGTGGCTTTTGTCTTGTTACACCCATCCCAGATTTGTTTGGGATGGGTGTTCGCCGTTTAGTTATCGCTGTCTAGAGGTGATCGCCGACGGTGTAATTTACCCTGGTCGAGTTAATATCGATAGAAATTGAGAAATGTCGGGTGAAATAGATAAGGAACAGAGCAATTATATAGAACAGATAAATCGAGCCCCCGTTACAAATAAAGACAACATTTAATCAAAATCTCTAGCAATACAGTTAAAAAATATAATAATAGTACGAAACGAGAGAAAGATACGATTCTTTCTTTTGACTTAGCGTCTTGCACGAATTTCCGAATACAAGAAATAATAAGACCAGTAGCCGATCTGTTACGTTATAGAATTTAAATTATCATTTAGATCACACTGAATATATCTAAGACATTAACTGGTACAGTTTTCGTAACCTGATAGTCTGGTTTCAGTCCGAATTCCACCGTGACTATTCCCTTTGACTCCCCTACGCTGGTAAGTCCAGGTTTCCTTTTCTTTGACTTTCTTTCCAAATTGCCAGGTGTCGTCTTTGAACTTTTGTGTCCTCCTTGAATCCGTAAGATTTAATACGTTGAGCGTAGACTCTAGAGCTATCCCGGCCCTTCCAAAATAACAAAATAAATAACCTTAATATTCCGTCACATTATACTGGGGGGAATAAATCAATAATTTCCCCTCTCGTTAGGTCAGATAAATTATATCCTAAATTCAAACAGATTCTAATGCTATCTAGTTTAACTGACCCCGACAGAGCGTAAACAATCTCGTTTCACAAAATTAATGTTCACTAAAAGGCTATTCTAACAATCCCCACCAAGACGTTAGTTCCAGGTTAAACGCAATTACACAAATTAATGAAATTCCTTGCTACTGTATTTATCATACATGAACTCATATATAGGTAGGCGAATACATACGGATTCTGGCATTGCAACTAAAATAAGGCACAACATTCTAAATACATAATTTCCACCAATAATAAACTATCATTGTACGGGCTCTGATCAACGAATCAACATATGTAATCAATATCAAGAAAATGAATCTACGAACTTAAATAAATTCATACAGATACATTAGGATTAATCCTACAATCATCATAGTAACAGCAATGAATTACATAAGATTGTTGCAAATACTTTGTTTTTCCAAACTTTTACTTTTTAACAAGCGATTCACTCATTAAACCCCTTGGAGCCGCGCACCCTTCACAGCGTAACCAATCAGATTTATAAAAACTCTCATTTTTCCAAGCATCAAAAGACTGCATTATGCCTATCAACAAATGGCTACCAACTGGTCCTGGGCGATGTCAAAAGCTGTCCATTTCCATACAAAACAGTAACTTGAACCCCGTTCCGGTAAAAGTAAACAAATTAAGCCCTTGATTATAAATCAATAACTACTGGCTTTGGCGAACCAATCCTTACATTATGGCATTCTAAATGCGGCCATTCCACTATAAATCTCGTTAATGGTATATGTGTTTAACTAAATGTGTTCTACCACAATTAACAATACAAACAAAGATCGACCTAACGATTTGGTCCTTTACAACGCTCAGAATTAAGAAATTAGTGCTACGAGAGGGTCGGCCTGGTGTCATGATAAAATGACTGGGTGGGACATAATGCTACATGTCTGTTCCATGATGCCCCAGTACTAGACATGACTATAAACTATCACACTACGGACATCATGATTGAAAATATTTTAAAGGTACGTTATAAATCCGAACACACACACACACACACACACACACACACACACAACCTTGAGAATTATTTAAAACAAACTTCACATTCATATAGCACTAGACCACTTTTATCGCACGAGCCATCGGGCGTTAATCAATACACAAGCGCATCTACTTTTCATTCTTCTTCTTTGTTTTCAGAACTGAGGCTTAACATTTATACGGCGAATGCCTTTAAGCACAAACCTATCAATAAATACGATCAACCAACTTAACTAATATGCACAAGGATATTTGGAGAGAATTTGTGTCGGAATGTTAAAACTCTGATTAAGAAACTATCATGATGGTGCGAAAGGAGAGGAAGTGAGGGTGTTCAAAAATGGTTCTATGTTTTTTGCAATCTTGGTACAATAATGCAAAACAAAAATGTTCTTATTGAAGATTACTTAGGATACTTTTATTTTAGACTTTATGTTTTCTTTCACTCTGCTGACGGGAAGAACCATATTTAATGATCTCAGTTGACCTTCTTATGAGCATTCATAAATCCAGTTAACAAACTGCTTTTTAAGAGCTTTTCTTACAAGCTCATTAACCAAATGGTTGTATTTGGGAAATAAATTCAACGCAAGCGATATCTGGTCTACTATAATCGTGTTCAGTTTTTCTCCCAATCTATAAGGGAATGAAAGGAATCTTTCAAAATTTGGTTAGATAGCATCGCTTGATAACAAACAATATCAGCTGCAATAAATAATAGAACAATATTTGAGTTATATTAACGTCATTCTATACCTGCATTTCAGTCTGAGCAACTTTATTGCATCTGTTATGTATAAAATATTGATTGCTTTTAAAGAAAACTCTTTATTCTCTGTCTCATTCGTACCAGACTCTATGCGAATGCCAACTTAATGTGAAATTTTCAAAATAATGAAATCACATTTGAATTGTCTTTCATACCTTTGACACGAAATACGCTAGAATATCGAATTAAAACATTATCATATATTAAAAACTTTGAAAATTAAAATTATTGTCAAAATTAAAATTACTGCATACATTACATTAGTTTCCAAATAAATAATCAAACGTGTCATATAATGCTGTGATAGAGAGACCCAATATCGTACACGACTGTGAAGCATTATGTCGATGTTAGAAAGAAACATATTCAATCAGTCTGAGGCGAAATCACCAAATTTGATACAAATTATGTCAAAACTGCATTTACTTCTGAGTGTTTTCTTTTCGATTTCGATGGAAAAAGCAGAATGATATTGTCACTGAAATTCGCCCAATGGTTCATTTTTGATTTCGTTTTTAAAACATGTACTTTGAAGAATACGGAAGCGATAATAAAAGTGATTTTTCGATCATTTCAAAATAAATCGGCGAAGTGAATTTCAACAGAAAATATCTTGTTGATAGTGTCACGAGTCTATGCTCTTAAAATAAGTAACAGAAAAGAGTGAAGACAAGCTTTGTAAAATTTAACAATTTTTTTTATTTCCATAGAATACAAAGTGAAAAATGAGAACAAAGAACTTATGATATGTGATATGTCGAATTTTGAAAACTCTTAGAAGCTTTGGGTAAAGAAATTGTATCAAAGTCAACTTAATTAAAGTAGAAAGGGCTAGAGATAGTTAGATGATTATTTTCATTTCAGCTCTGAACGCCAAAAGGGAATTCGTTCTAACCGACGTAACATGACCAAGTCAGATGCTATGGTACAAGAGAATGACATAAGACCCTTCTCCAAAATCGACCGGTTAAAGGCGGGAGATGGCTATAGATGATTGTTCAAAGTAAAGTTAATTACGGCATGATTAGTTGTTTAGTTGTCTTGTCAATCCAAAAATTCTACGGAACAGGTTTAGGAAATAGTCTATTCCGATTGGTTAATATGGATTGATGGGCGTAACTCTGTAAGAAATTAAAGTTTTTCCTTTAGGAAAATTCAGCAGTCTTTAATCTTTTGCGAGGAAAGTTAAACGACTCCGGGATCGTGTAAGACGTTATCTCGTGATTTGGCAGTAAAGCGGGAGTTTGTCTCAGCGAGTAGGCAAACTCTACATTCTGAATTCGTAAAAAGTACGTTTTTATTATAGAGTAAGGGGCCAGATAGTTGTCTCAGTTAGGAGACGGACTATACGTGAGGTTCGTGGAAACGAATAAAGAAACGGCAAAAGGAAACAGCTTTCCTGGATTCACATGAGAAATCCCTGAACAATTACAGGACGAGAACAAATTCTACGCAGAAATCTAAGTCCAGAGACGATTGTTAAGTCAGAGTTCGACGGACAAGAGTCCAAGACGAAACAGCTAGACAAGGATCGGTAGAGCAGGGACGAACGGAAGTCTTGATGTCCGCATAAAATAGGTGATGAAGTCTCTCATCGTTACACTCAAAGGTCACATCTTATTGGCAATGAAGATAGTAATTTAACATTGAAAGTTATTTTACATGTAAAGAAATTTGTATTGTCTTTTTATTTGAGTACATGTTAGTACCATTTTCCTTCTTTTGTAACCAAGTCATTGATTTCTTTTCATTTTGAATTCTGTTGATAAACTGATTAAATTGTATATTTGTTCATTGAAAGGGGGCTCGTTTTTTTATTTCTTCAATGTACTCGTTCAGTGATCTGCATTCTTCTTTCTATCTATCTACACTGGGTAAAGTACAGCGCGGAGGTCATTCCCTAGCAACGAACCGTAGTGAAAGAGGTTGGTGTGTTCTGCACGCCGCCAATTTGTCACATAAGTGGGAGCCTCGTTCCGGGATATTTGAACAGTGGAAAAAAGCAGATCTGAGCATATATTGAAAGAAATACAACACAGAATCAGTGATAGATTTGTATATTTTAAATAAGTAACTACGAGTGTGAATTGAGTCAAAACCTATTCTTACATGTTTGAAATTATGCATGATTTGTGAATTTCTTAAATGTTGCATGACATTGTAAGAAATAAACATTCCGTACCTGAAATTGCTGAAGCGTGGTTGGTTGTCCGTATCTAAGTAACCTATAAATATTTTGCCTTAGTACTCTTGCGAGAAGAGATCATTAAGGAAGTATCCCCAGGGTAATTTGCACATGTGTTGCAGACGATACGAATTTAGGGAGAATTTATAGTTTGGTACTGCCCGAAAACCGTTTAAATTACTTGTGATTTTTAAGTAAGTCTGTAGGTAAGACTTTACTGAGTTAGAATATTCGTTGATATTCATA